TCATTTTAGTTTCAATCTCTACCATATTGACTAGATAATAACTATCAAGATTGATATAGCATCAATTCTGTCAACAAAGTAAGTTTAAAAGGTAAAGAACAGCCTCACACTGATTTAAAAAGATTCTCTTTCCTGACCAAAAGGAAAGGTTTTTAGAAGTCTCAATAGGGTAAGATTTTTTTTTCACGAGTAATTTACTAACATGTATTCACTTGCTGAATATTTATTATAAGAAATTAAATGCAGTTGTTCATGTTAGATAATTGTTACAGTCATGATCAGAAATTAAGTAACACAGATTTCTTAAAATGGAGGCACTGTAATCTTATATGAAAATTTAAACCAAATTAAGTGATCAGATAATTTTTTCATATATCATAGAAACCCAATTACTTTAATTTAAAACACTGAATTACTTCTAGAAGCTGACTATATTTGTGATGAGCACTGGAATTTTTCTAAAAGCTAATTAAGAAAAGAAGTACACAAAGTTATGTTTCCAATTCACTTAATAGCACAGTTTCTAAAGGCATTTTCAATTAACAACATTTTCTTTGGATTTACTCAATTTGCTGAAGTTGGGTAAAGCTTTGAAAATATCATTAAATAGTTAGGAGGTTGGTGAAATTATTTTCTATCTTTTCATAAGGGATTTCTGTATCTTGATGAAGAATTATTCTAACAGAAAGTGATTGCTAAGTGCATTAAGCCTGTGATTACAGAGTGGAGTGAAATAATGCTTTTTGCACATATTAAAGAAAAAATGCAAGAAAGAAAAGAGGGGATTGAGGGAAGGAGAAAGAAGGGGAGGGAAGTATGGTTATCTTCTTAGAATTGTACCTATGGAATACATGTAATTTGTTTTCTTTATATTAATAAAATTTTAAAAGGAAAATTAAAAAAAGAAAAATCAACAAGGATGCTATAAAATAATCAAACTTGTTACTATTTGCAGAAAGAGTAAAGTGATTTTTTTTAAAAAAAGATTTATTTATTTACTTTAAAGACAGAATTATAGAGAGGCAGAAGCAGAGACAGAGAGAGACAGAGAGAGAGAGAGAGAGAGAGAGAGATGGAGAGAGAGAGAGAGAGAAAGAGAGAGAGAGAGGTCTTCCATTCCACTGGTTCACTCCCCAATTGGCTGCAATGGCTGTAGCTGTGCCAATCTGAAGCCAGAAGCCAGGAGCTTCTCCTGGGTCTCCCATATGGGTACAGGGGCCCAAGCACTTGGGCCATCTTCTACTGCTTTCCCAGGCCCTAGCAGAGAGCTGGATACGAAGTGGAGCAGCCTAGACTTGAACTGGCACCCATATGAGATGCTGGCACTACAGCTGATGGTGTTATCAGCTACAACTCAGCAAACGCCCCAAGAGTAAAGCTATCTTAGGAGAGAAGAGACATTTTTCAGTGGGAAAGACAAAGCACTAATATGTCTTCTAGAAACAATGATTTCTGGAGAATATGAAGAAATGATACGAAAGGAGATCTAGACTTTCCTTACTTTTCTACTCTCATTGTCATTGAATGAAGCCAGCGGAAACTGAGAAGACACACCTTTACCAAGTAGTGTCAAGACTTTCAAAATATTCCCAAGAAAACAATCAATTTTGAGCCAACACCATGCATACTGGAACTTCCTGAACTGACCCTTCACAGGGAGTTGAATTCTTCCTAATTTTTTCAAATGTTCCTAATCAGGTCATCTAACTATTTATTTTGATGCCTATCTGGAATCTTCACCAATCTCTTTTGCCTATCCTCCCTATCCTTTCTCTTTATATGTGATTCTACTTTAGGGGAAAAAAAGCAGCCATTCAGCCCTACTCATCCTCACCAAAGTCAAGTGCATCTTCACAGCCTCCCTACCGCCTCTGTAGAAGACAGCACTGCTGTTTAAGGCTCACCCTTCCTCCGGCACATTAGAGTCAATTCTTTTTCTTCTCTCACAAGGACCTTGTTCCATCAGATGTCACCTCTGTGCCTCTCAAATGGCCTTTGGGATATAAATGCACTCAAATTTCACCAATTTTAAAACAAAATAAGTGAACAACCAACAATGATCACAACACACATCAACTACTTCACTCCATAATGTCAGATACTGTGTTCTCTAAAAGGCCTCCTCATCTACTTTCGTGAATGGCTAACTTCTATTTATTTATGGATCACCTCTGGAAATCTCACCATGACTACCTCATTTTGCGGTATCTTGTTTACACCGACCTCATATCCTCTATGGTAATGGTCGTGTGTCTTTCTAGAGCCCTGAGCATGCTGTGGCATCTTGGGTGCCCTGGGTTTTCACCTGTATCCCTAGTTTGTGGCAGAGTAAATCAGACAGGTCAGATGCTCAGTAAAAGCCACGAGAGGGAATGGTTCTTCTTAAAGTTTCTCAACTACTGATACATTTCTCACTCATTTCCTGCTTTGTTCATCGTAAGACATTTTGGTATTTAAGCAGCAGTCATATAAATAGAAGCTATCTTCTATCATCTGTTGCTCCTCATCTTTGTAATTATCTGTAACACATTTTTATCTATTGCAAGACTGTGAGCCTCAGGAAGTCAGGATCCAGCATTACTCACCATCCTATTTGGAGCACCTACTAGACTGATTGCCTCAAACAATTTTCTAAATAAAAGAATAAAAGGGGGCCGGCGCTGTGGCACAGTGGGTTAATCCTCCACCTGCGGTTCTGGCATCCCCTATGGGCTCCAGTTCTAGTCCCAGCTGCTCCTCTTCTGTGGCCTGGGAAAGCACTGGAAGATGGCCCAAGTCCTTGGGCCTCTGCACCCACATTGGAGACCCGGAAGAAGCTCCTGGCTTCTGGTTTCAAATCAGTGCATCTCTGGCCATTGTGGCCATTTGGGGAGTGAATCAGCGGACAAAGATCTTTCTCTCTGTCTCGACCTCTCACTGTCTATGACTCTACCTCTCAAAATAAATAAATAAAATCTTTAAAAAAATAAAAGGAAAAAAGGAGAGGGACAATTTTGAACAAAAGGAGAAGGTTGGGGTGTGGGGAAGCCTTTGAATAACGCAGGCAAAAATGATAAAAAGGGAAAACAATTCTAAAATTCTCACTTGATTTCATACAAGCATAGCAATTATCTGTCAAAAGATTAGCATTGTAGGAGACACACATACTCAAATTCTACTGACTTTAAAACCAATAGAGTACAAAAAGTTTAATGTATAGGAGCAAAGTTGACATCTTGAGATTTTATTATTTACAGCCCTTGTCTCTACCATTGAGGAACAGTGTTTCTTTCTTCTTACTATTTGTTGAATTCTTTACTTAGTGGAGGGTTAAGCTTATGATTATAAAATAAATTGAAAGTAGGTCATTGTAAAAATTAGGGTGAGTGGGGACATGGGGGAGAAGGAGGGTAGAGTGAGATCATTATTCTCCTAAATCTGTATATATAAAATACATGAAATTTGTTCACCTTATGTAAATTTTAAAAATTGGAAAGAAAGCAAGTAAACAGATAATATTTAATTAAATGAAATGTAACTTCTTTTCTGTATCTACCCAAATTCTTTAAAATCCACAATTTGTATTCTTTATCAATTCTCTCCATTTATCTCAAGAGATAGTACTGATTCTCATAATAAGATTATAGAATCTACATTCCTTAAAGAAGAAAAACTATGAAAAGAACAATAACATAGGGGGATGCATTTGCCTAGGCTGTTCTGGGTAATGGAGTACCTTCACACAGGTAAATCATTTGTCTTTTGACCATCTGAAGAGCTAAGCAGAACAGGCGCTGTTATTTTCATTTTACATTTGAGAAAATTGAACTTCAAGGAGGTTAAAAGGTACACATGCCTTCTAGCTGTGAATAAATTGAAGAAGAAGGTGAAGGTAAAAGGGAGAAATATTAGATTTGCTCTTTTGAAAATGCTTCAGTGGGAGAAATTCAATCTTAATCAGCAACAACAAACACTTATTCAGCATTTGCCTCATGGAGCCCTGCTCTGCCTTTCCTGCAACGGAAATTTTACCAAAGGATCGAGCAGGGATCACCTCATAGTCCCTCAGACGGCAAACTTTTGAAATACTCCTGTCTCTAAGATAGTTACTCCCCAAACACTCTGAAATTCCAGGATGGCCAGAAAAATAACTGGTAACTAAAAGCTTAATATCTAGCACTCCTAACTGATATTTATCTTGCTTCATTTGATTTTCTTTGGTTAAATGGATGATACAGAAATGGGGTTTTGTGTGTGTGTGTGTGTGTTTGTGTGTGCGTGTGCACCTGTGTGCATGAGCACATGGACATATGGTTCGGAAGGCTCTTGGGTAACATGTGCTGATGCACTGATACCACTGCCCTGGGCAATGCAATTTCATGTTCTTCTGTCCTATTCTGCCCAACTAGGGTTCTTCTCTCCATGTTAGCTTCTTTGGTTTATTTGCCTTACTTGCTATTCATTTCAAATGTTTATATGGGGATTTGACTCTGCCAATTTTACAAATTTTGGAACAATATCTTCTACTTAATCATTAGCAACAGGGATTTAAGAAATCTCTGTATCCAATGTCATTTAAAAGTGAATACGTTTTTAAAAGTATGCCCAGGACTAACATGCTACATTGCAAAATAAAAAATGCTTGTTGAGTCCAAGTTGTGGTAATATGGATAATTTTGTTTTTTCCTAAAAATAATTTTAATATTTTATATAGCTTGGCAATATAAAAGGAAATAATAAATAGACATATTATATAAGCTTATAATTATATCATATTTGGTTTAGTTACATATTTTTGATTATACATGATTTTATAGCAAATAAATTTTAGTATCAAATAAATTTAATCATTAATTCAATTTCACATTTAATTTGCCCCTACGGAAATGGGACCTTTCTTACTCTCATCTGTATTATGACTGCTTTCCAGTTTCTTTAATGAAAAGTAGAGCTTTCTTCTCATTCTTTCTTCATTTCTCAGGACTAAACATTGAGAAGCAAGAGACGTGCAAGACACTTACCCACTCTTCCTCATCATAGTCCGAATGATGTGGTATGGAATCCTGCCTTTTCACAGCTTGGGGCTGCTCCTGGGGGCTGCTCTCCGCTGTGCTCTTAGGAGAGGGGGGTTTCTTAAGGATGCCTCCTGGTCGTGCCGTGTAGAGTGCTAAAAGAGCACTCCTGACCAGCTGATCCTTGAAGGCGTGTACAAAAAGCTCTGTCTAGAAAGAAATTGACAAAGATTAGGAATACCACGGTAGGCATAACACTAAGAAAAGGTCGATTTCAGATTTGTTGCTACTTAAGTGGTGTATATGGTACAAAAAGCACAGGCACCCAAGAGAGAAAATGAATCATACCAATCAATGGAAAAAGAGTTTGGTTTTGGATTGCTGCCAAGGCGTTGAGTCCTCCTGCTTCAACATTAATGTTGAGGTTTTTTTTTTTTTTTTTTTTTTTTTTTTTTTTTTTTTTTTTTTACTTTTATTTAATGCATATAAATTTCCAAAGTACGACTTATGGATTACAATGGCTTTCCCCCCATACCGTCTCTCCCACCCACAACCCTCCCCTTTCCCACTCCCTCTCCCCTTCCATTCACATCAAGATTCATTTTCGATTATCTTAATATACAGAAGATCAGCTTAGTATACATTAAGTATGGATTTCAACAGTTTGCTCCCACACAAAAACATAAAGTGAAAAATAATAGATGATTTTTTAAAATGATGATGAAATCAGATTAGACCTATTGTCATGTTTAATCCCAGTGAGAGTCAAGTTGGGAATTGATAATTTCTTTCTTTTTTTTTTTTTTTTTACAGAGGATCAGTTTAGTATGCATTAAGTAAGGATTTCAACAGTTTGCACCCCCATAGAAACACAAAGTGAAATATATTGTTTGAGTACTCGTTATAGCATTAAATCCCAATGCACAGCACATTAAGGATAGAGATCCTACATGAGGAGTAAGTGCACAGTGACTCCTGTTGCTGACTTTACCAATTGACACTCCTGTCTATGGCATCAGCAATCCCCCTATGCTCCAGTCATGAGTTTCCAAGGCTATGGAAGCCCTCTGAGTTCTCCGACTCTTATCTTGTTTAGACAAGGTCATAGTCAAAGTGGAGGTTCTCTCCTCCCTTCAGAGAAAGGTACCTCCTTCTTTGATGGCCTGTTCTTTCCACTGGGATCTCACTCGCAGAGATCTTTTGCCAGAGTGTCTTGGCTTTCCATGCCTGAAATACTCTCATGAGCTTTTCAGCCAGCTCCGAATGCCTTTAGGGCTGATTCTGAGGCCAGAGTGCTATTTAGGACATCTGCCATTCTATGAGTCTGCTGAGTATCTCACTTCCCATGTTGGATCACTCTCCCCTTTATTTACTCCATCAGTTAGCGTTAGCAGGTACTAGACTTGTCTATGTGCTCCCTTTGACTCCCAGTCCCTTCACCATGACCAACTGTGAACTGAAACTGATCACCTGGAACAGTGAGATGGCATTGGTACGTGCCACCTCGATGGGATTGAATTGGAATCCCCTGGTATGCTTCCAACTCCACCACTTGGGGCAAGTCAGCCTGAGCATGTCCCAAATTATACATCTCTTCCCTCTCCCATTCCCACCACCATGTTCAACAGGGATCACATTTCAGTTAATTTTCAACACTTAAGAATAACTGTGCATCAATTACAGATCTAAACCAGTCATATTAAGTAGAACAGATAACAAAACTACTAAGAGGTATAATGTATTTAGTTGTTCATTAACAGTCAGGGCTATGCTGATCAAGCCACCATTTCCCATAGTGTCCACCTCACTCCAACAGGTTTCCCTCTTGGTGTTCAGTCAGTCGTCACCGATCAGGGAGAACATATGGTATTTGTCCCTTTGGGACTGGCTTATTTCACTCAGCATGATGTGTTCCAGATTCCTCCATTTTGTTGCAAATGACTGGATTTCGTTGTTTCTTACTGCGGTATAGTATTCTAAAGAGTACATATCCCATAATTTCTTTATCCAGTCTATCGTTGATGGGCATTTAGGTTGGTTCCAGGTCTTAGCTATTGTGAATTGAGCTGCAATAAACATTAGGGTGCAGACCGCTTTTTTATTTGCCAATTTAAATTCCTTTGGGTAAATTCCAAGGAGTGGGATGGCTGGGTCCAACGAATGTTGAGGTTTTAAATGCACTATAAACACCATCTGTCTTCTCAACCTTCTCTCTTTTAGTTTGGAATCCTGTCTTTGGAGATGTATTTCACTGAGGATGATCATTTGAACAATGTCTACCTGCTGCACCTTTCAAGTAGTTCCCAATACACTTTAAAAGAAAATTTGATCAGTCTGTGTCTATTTTATATTTCAAACAAGGGAGAGGCTGAAGAAGACTAAAGATATGTTTTCAAGCAATAGTCAGCAGAACTCTTTTGTTCTTAGCCTCATGGGTAGACCTCAATAGTAGAGAAGATAGAGGGAGCTTTACCTATGACAATGCTTGGATCCTACTCCTTGTCACCTCTGAAGCCGTCTCTTCCACCAAATCACTTCATTAATGCTCAGTATTAATGAGGTTACTGTGAAATCTGGCATGGCATACTTTACAAGCTGGTGGGAAATACCTGGTAAGGACTGTAGTAATGCTGGCTTCCCATCCAACTGTAGTTTAAAATTTCCTGATGACATGTTTAATAGCTTCACACTGTTGCAGACTGGAGAGTATAGTAATTGATTTTGTGTAGTGTAGCACATTTAACATGCGTGTGGCCAAGCAATCTAGTCAGAGTAATAAGTCAAGCATTGACTTTTTTGTTAATATAGTCATCCTTTGTAATTCATTAGGAAGGGGTCCTTTAACTCAGTGTTATTCTGAATAATAATTGATAGCATCATCAACGGGTATTAAACTGACTTCATCCTCACTAGAACTCAGTATAGTTACTACTTGGTATACTCTCAATATGCTGCCAACAGTGCCATGCCTAACTAGTGGTTAATAACTTACACTGTGGATGTCTGTAATTAAGGAAAAGTCTGTTAAAACTTGTAGAAAATAAGTGCCTAATAAGACTGCACAGTTACTATTTGAAATAGATCATAAAATTCTTTAACTAAAAAAGACATTAAAGTTAACCTGTTATTAGCCAAATTAGAAAATAAAAAAAATGTAGTGAGATGTTACAGGGCATTCTGCTGTTGGCAACACAAATGGGATAGATTCGAAGCTTTCTAACAAATCCAACAGCTTGTCCCTTATTCCACCGAACCTACCACCCACCATCAGCCTTCATGCTCCCGTCCTTCTTCCCTTTCTTGCTAACTGCAGTTCTTCAAGAGGTTTGAGTATCTGTCAGTTCTCATAATTAAGTGTGCCCAACTTATCTAAATAATAATCTTTACTGTTAGATTTTATTGAGTGTTTCAAATACTCTGTTAATGTAGTCATAGCACATCATAGCCACTTTTTAAAAAAACACTTTGAAGGTAAGAAAACAAGAAACATAGAAAACAATATATGAGAATGAAAGACCATAAAATATTTTGGAATAAATTAGAAAAAATTCAAAAACAGCTTTTAGTGCAAAGACACAAGAAGAAGTCTTCATTAATTTTGCAATACAGTGTTAAAATAAGAATGGAAGATATAATCTGACAGAAAAATTGGCGAGACAGTGCTCAAAAAGTCAGTATAGTTATAGCAAAATTGAGAAACATGCTATTTACATAATTTTATACAGCATGGATATATCCACAAATGTGAATTTAAATCTTAAAAATGTGAATTTACTCCTATTCAGATTAACTAAACTATTTCTCTGTTGACAGTTGCAATAAATTCTTTTGATTTATTTTTGGGACAAAACAGCTTGTGTTTGAATTTCTGCTACTACAGCACTAGTCCCCACAATACTCACATAATTACTATGTAGCTGAATATCTATTCACACCCAAAGAAATCTTCAAAAGTCCTTGTAATCACCATCATTTTTTTCTCATACCATGCACATGCAGCAATTTCACTTCAGTTATTTAAATCTCATTTGAGTTGATTTACCACCAAAGGGAAGCGAGATAATGCAGATTACAACCCACAACTTTCTTTGGAAAGCTAAACACAAGGTGCACACTTTCTTTTTAAGTAATTAATGTATTTATTAAAGAGAAGAATGGAGGGAAGAAGGGAGAGAGAGGTGAGTGGAGAGAAGAAAGAAGAGAGGAGGAGTGGAGGGAGAGAGAGAGAAAGAGACAGAGAAGGAGGGGAGGGAGAGAACCAAGCTCTTGCAATGGCCAGGACTAGGTTAGGGACTGGGAACTCAATCCAGGTCTCCCATGTGGGCAGCACAAACTTATTTTGGTTGAGCATATGCATTGATTGGAAGCTGGATTCAGGAGCCAGAGGTGGGTATTGAACACTGGCACTCTGATATGGATGTGGGTGTCTTAATCACTAAAGGAAACCCTCACACCACAAAGTTAAATACAATAATAGCGAATCTTTTACTTTGTGTCTATGTTGACAAACTATCTGACTCCTTGGACAGTCTCTGAATCACCAGGACTCTGTACAGAATCACGTTTTGTTAGAAACTATCTAGGCCCGGCGCCATGGCTCAATAGGCTAATCCTCCGCCTTGCGGCACCGGCATACTGGGTTCCAGTCCTGGTCGGGGCGCCAGATTCTGTCCCAGTTGCCCCTCTTCCAGGCCAGCTCTCTGCTGTGGCCAGGGAGTGCAGTGGAGGATGGCCCAAGTCCTTGGGCCCTGCACCCCATGGGAGACCAGGATAAACACCTGGCTCCTGCCATCGGATCAGCGCAGTACGCCAGCTGGCCGCAGCGCACCGGCCGCAGCGGCCATTGGAGGGTGAACCAACGGCAAAGGAAGACCTTTCTCTCTCTCACTGTCCACTCTGCCTGTCAAAAAAAAACAAAAACAAAAAAAACAAAAAAACAAAAAACAACAACTATCTAAACATCTCATGCAATACCCATGTGACCTGAGAAAACCTTTATTTTCTTGACTTGGACCGTTTTATTAAACGTAAAGCAAACTACATCTGGCATATTTTATAGTAAAAAAAAATCAAATTTGGGGTGGGTATTTAGACTACTGATCAAGATAACCACTTCTCCAATACCAGAATGCTTGGGTTTAATTCCTGGTTCCATCTCCTAACTCCAGCCTCTTGCTAATGCAGATCTTGTGGGGCTTGGCGATGACTCA